TGTCATTAGCACCTCTAGTAATATATTTACTGAGAAAAATGGTGACATGTTCAATACTTATTTTACTCGCTGTATGTGGATTGTGCACATGAAAAAATTGCCAATAATCTCTATCAAAAAGCATATTTTGCTGTTGTTATTGACACTGTTGATCTTCTAGTACAGTGCTGCCAGTCAGGTCCCCGGTATACGATTTATTGTCACGAAGCATTGTTACAAAAAAAAWATCTACCAAACACAAAYRTTCTTAATTTCTGTGGCAAGTATTTATGGAAAAATATGTAAGAAAGTTTAAAACCTTTGTACATTTATATAAGTTCCTTTAGATCTTTTGGAAATGAAGTTAGACCACGTGACGTTGTTTTTGTGCTCACACACTCTTAAAAAGCTCTCTGTTCTTAATACTTTWAGCAAAAAAAAARAAAGGCTAAAGCAATACTTTATTGTTGAATTCCTGTATTTCATACATTTACACTGCAAAGTTAACGTCTCATTTAAGGAAACAGATACCCCTTGGATTCACTGTTACATGTGTAGCTAACAGCTCCAACTTCAATATGAGGCTGGTGACATCGGCTCATCAGGTCTACATGCATCACAGGCGCGAGTCAACAGCCAATGAAAGCTGTCGGGCATGAAGTACTGATCAGTGGTGGTGGAGATGGGGGGGCGGGGTCTGAGGGCYGACATAATGGGGGTGAGGTGCTGGTGTGCTAAAATGTCCAATGAGTAAAAAAAAAAAAAAATCACCTCCATCTTGAGCGTAACTCAAACCCAATTCACAAAAAATTTATTAAAAACAAGAGAGAGCTGCATCGTGACTGTCTCAGCTCCAACCTTTGAACCCCACCGCTTTGAGTCTGAGGGTCTCCAAGTGATGACAGAAGCTGAGACGGGAGGCGGGTTTCACAACTCAAAGGCAAAAAAAAAAGTCACCACTAGTAAACTATTGGGAGAGTAAGAGCGCCATAAAAATACGGCTGTTAGTCAAGCTCCGAGTCTGACTGAGACGCTGCCTTCTTTTTCTTTTTTCGGCCATGTTTTTTGTGCTTCTTTTTCCTCTTCTTCTTGGATTTAACCTGGAGGGTAAATCAAATGTTTTACATCAAGGAAACAAGGTTTTCACTTTTTTATTTTTAAATGAAGCAATCAGCTACAGCTAAATACAACATTTTTTGAGGCAGTAGTCTGCAGCTTCACCCACACAAAAATCTAGTTGTTGCATTTTTCCTTAAAGGAAAAAAAAAGATTACTCACTGTGAATTTCTCCTTCTCTTCACTACTTCTCTTTTTCTTCTTTGCTTCRGGCTACAGGAGGAATTAAAAGCGATGTTATTGCAAAAAGAAGAAACCAACAGCCACCCCATAAAAAAACACATTTCCAGTAACGGCTTTCATTTCACAATTATGGAGTTTTGTATCGCCGAAAATACAAATCACATTATCGGTTTCATTAATTCAACTGTGCCAAACTGTAACGCTAAATAATATAGATTAACTTTCACCAACTAGGACAGATTTAATAATATTTAGGGGTGATATTGGGCGGAGGGGTCTATTATTTTCAACCTAATTCAAATAATCAATATTTCCAATTAACAGAATCAGTTTAGAAAAGAAATATAATTTTTTCGCAAAAATGTCACAAAAAAATCTAGTGTTTTTTTCAGTGAATGTATTTCTCTTACAAAATTGTTGACAAGGTGTGTAGCATTCTAATTACTGAGACAGATTTTAGCAACGCAACCTTAAGAAAACCTTTTACAGTCATGTGAACTTCATGCACAGCTCATGGTCAGGGTCAAAAGGGAAATGATGCCAAGACTGCTTGACTTGGTGGTTGTGAAATGAAGTTGTGTCCTGAGTAATCACAGAAAACTTACATAAAGGTCAAACTGCAGATTTAAATTAGGTAATCTAGTTTCTGCAACAAGGTAAGTGTAGACTTAAGTGTCTTATTCAGATGTGCTTCAACAGCTGATAAACAAGTACTGAAATTAGAACATTTCTGTTTTAACTGTGAAACATTGATGGTTTATGTAAATATCTGTACGAAGAAAGGAACTGCATACAAGCTTAAAAAAATGCATTTTCTTACCTACAGTTAATTTTACCAATGTTAAAAGAGGAATAAGTTAAAAATAAAACAATAAAGCTTAGTTACTACGTGGAGGCAGGAGAACAACAGCTAAAGGTACCTTTATGGCAATCACAATTAAACAATATAAATGTGAGGAAATACACAAGTATTGATGTCCAAATATTATTCTCAGGAGTTTACTTCCCTTTCTAGAAATCATAACTGACATTTAGTACCTCTTCCCCAATCGATTCAACCGACGACTCAGAGGAGGAGTCTTTGTAAGTCCTCTCAGCTTTTCTTTTCCGCCTTCGATCCTTTTCATTCTGATAAAAACATGAAATTCCTTCAGTTATTTCAGTGAATTACATCAGACAAGTTAAAACGCGCACTTTTTTAATGTTTTGTCAATACAAAAAGGTAAACAGAGCCAGCAGTTAGTGTTAAATCCTATAAATAATCATTTATAATGCAGTAATTGTTAAAAGCATAAAAATTTCTATAAAAAATCAAAACAAAAATTGTGTAATTCGACAGCTATTATGGCTTTAGTGAGTGAGAATAAATGACCTTATCTTTATCTCTTTCTTCCTTGATTCTCTTCCTTTTCTTAAAAAGGAAAAAAAAACCTTTTAAGAACCTATTCTTATTGTGAACCATTAAAATAAAAAGATTAACACCACCACTGCAAAATAAGAACCTTGCTTTCAGCGTCCGAGTCTTCCTCTGAGCTGTCCGACGCTCTCCTGGCTGAGGATTTCTTTCTCTTACGTTTCTTCTTTAGACTCTTCTTTTCTTCCTGTGTGGAAAAAAATGGGAATTACGGCACATCTAAAAAACGCCAAGTTGCATTCACACAGTGCAACTCTGGCTTACAGGAATCTATAGAGCCACATTTGATATTTAATAATGTCCTGTAGATGTTAATGGTCAAGATTTATTGGAAAACCTTTTAACATTCTTTGAATAATTAGGATGTGACAAGTTATATTTGTTGTTTTCACTTCTAATCTACAACCTCAAGAGTTATTGTAATATCTCAATGAATAAGATTAAAAAGAAAAATAAATAAAGGGAATAATTCAAACTGCATTTGCTTCCCAGGATTATGAAGTTATGAATTATTTTAAATAATCTGCAACACAATCTGACTCAAAGCTTCGGTGATGCTTACCTCGTCTTCAGACTCGGAGGAAGAGCTGCTGGAAGAATCAGAACTCGATGAGGAGGAGGAAGATGAAGAATGCTTGACCAAAACACAGTGAAAGCAGGGTTCATTAGACTTAAAGTAATTTAATTTGTTCTGAGTTTTCACAGCCTCTGATAGGGAGAGGACAGCAGCTCAGGTGGTGCACATGTATGAGTGTGTATGAGACAGACAGCCTCCATCAAAGCACTGAAGATCTTTCCTCACCCTGCTAGACTTCTTCTTCTCCTTCTTCTTTTTCTAAAGCAAAAACAAAGCAAAGCTGCAGTGAGAAAATGTAAAGTCTAAAAGGATGACTGCTTTAAAATAAACCTGCTTCACCTCTTTTTTGTCTTTCTTGTCTTCTTTGTCCATTGATTTTTTGTCTCTTTCTTTGTCGCCCAGCCTTTTCTCCCTGTTTTTAGCCAACTCTTTCCTCCATTTCTGAAAACAGCAAAAATAAAGTCAAATATTTAGCTGTTTTATTGCTTATCTGTAAGTGAGAACAAACACCTACAGTGGGGAGAACAAGTATTTGATACACTGTTGATTTTTCCAGATTTTCCCACTTGCAAAGCTTGTAGATGACTGTAATTTTTATCATAGGTACTCTTCAACTGTGAGTGATGGAATCTAAAACAAAAATCCAGAAAAAATACAATGTATGATTTTTAAATAATTAATTTCCATTTTATTGTGTGAATTAAGTATTTGACACACCAGAAAAATGAAACTTAATATTTGGTACAGAAACCTTTGTTTGCAATTACAGAGATCAGACGTTTCCTGTGGTTCTTGACCAGGTTTGCACACACTGCAGCAGGGATTTTGGCCCACTCCTCCAAACAGATCTCCTCCAGAGCCTTCAGGTTTCGGGGCTGTCGCTGGGCCACACGGACTTTAAGCTCCCTCCAAAGATTTTCTATTGGATTCAGGTCTGGAGACTGGCTAGGCCACTCCAGGACCGTAAGATGTTTCCTACGGAGCCACTCTTTAGTTGCCCTGGCTGTGTGTTTTGGGTCGTTATCATGCTGGAAGACCCAGCCACGRCCCATCTTCAGTGCTCTTACTGAGGGAAGGAGGTTGTTGGTCAAAATCTCACGATACATGGCCCCATCCATCCTTCCCACAATATGGTGCAGTCGTCCTGTCCCCTTTGCAGAAAAGCATCCCCAAAGAATGATGTTTCCACCGCCATGCTTCACGGTTACTGTACTCATCATTCTTCTTCCTCCAAACATGACGAGTTGAGTTTAAACCAAAAAGTTCTATTTTTGTCTCATCAGACCACATGACCTTCTCCCATTCCTCCTCTGGATCATTCAGATGGTCATTTGCAAACATCAGACGGGCTTTGACATGCGTTGGCTTGAGGAAGGGCACCTTGCGTGCACTGCAGGATTTTAATCCTTGATGGCGTAGTGTTACTGATTGTTTTCTTTGAGACTGTGGTCCCAGCTCTATTCAGGTCATTGACCAGGTCCTGCCGTGTAGTTCTGGGCTCATTCCTCACCTTCCACAAGATCAATGATGCTCCACGAGGTGAGATCTTGCATGGCGCCCCAGACCGAGGGAGATTTTCCGTTATTTTGTATTTCTTCCATTTTCTAATAATTGAACCGTTGTTGCCTTCTCACCAAGCTGCTTGCCTATTGTCCTGTAGCCCATCGCAGCCTTGTGCAGGTCTACAATTTTATCCCTGATGTCCTTACACAGCTCTCTGGTCTTGGGCATTGTGGAGATGCTGGAGTCTGATTGATTGAGTGTGTGGACAGGTGTCTTTTATACAGGTAACGAGTTCAAACAGGTGCAGTTAATACAGGTAATGAGTGGAGAAYCGGAGGGCTTCTTAAAGAAGAACTAACATGTCTGTGAGAGCCAAAATTCTTATTGGTTGATGGATGATCAAATACTTATTTCACACAATAAAATGGAAATTAATTATTTAAAAATCATACATTGTATTTTCTGGATTTTTGTTTTAGATTCCATCACTCACAGTTGAAGAGTACCTATGATACAAATTACAGTCATCTACAAGCTTTGCAAGCGGGGAAACCTGAAAAATCAACAGTGTATCAAATAATTGTTCTCCCCACTGTATGCAATCACAGCTCCTAATTGATGTTTATTGACTTTTTGTTAACAAAGAATAAATTTATTTACTTTGTAGAATTTAAGCATTAACGTGGTAATCTAACAACAACAACAAGCAAATAAAATTGTCTTGAGTAATAAGATTCTCCAACAACACAGCCACAGATACCAGTCAAAATACAAACCTCGTTCATTTTATCTTCAAAGTCAGCCAGGGCTCGAGAGCCCTTTTTCTTCTTCTCTAGCTGCTCCTTCAGCTCTTCCCTGTTGAAGCAATAAAGCCTTAAACATTTGGAAATATATCAACCTGAAAACTGCACACTTCAAACAAAGCCCTTAATGGTCACATTAATCCTAAACATTTAAAAAACAAAAATAAGGAGCAGAACTGGAGTCCAATGAAGCTAAATATATTCGTCCTGTGTAGCTTTCTTTAATCAAGTCAAAGTGATGTGTGCAATAATCAAACACCCAGTTATTCTGTCTCCTCCTCACCATGTTGGTCGAGGTCTGCTCAGGTAATCCTGTATGGTTGGTCCTGAGTTCTGCACAGGTCCCCTGGCCCGAGCAGCAGCGATAGGGTTTATGTATGCCTGAAATCACAACGCATGGGAACGTCTCAGGTGATTTAATGAAACACACACAAATATTGTGCATTGAGATTAAACCCAGCACAACTATATACACATTGCTAGCATTAAATAACAAAACATCATCTCTTAAACTGGAAACAAACCTGCAGAAGATAGCTTGAAAAATAATACAATACACTCAACCTGCAACGCTTGTATGAGAGCTGGATTTGCGTGCACCAGCTAGTGTTTAGGAAGTACAACAAAGAATGCTGTTCATACAGGAAACACATTCGTAGCATTCCAACATCCCAACCAAACGGAGCTACATTTAACATTTACAGCATTAGCATGGTTCACCCATTTTGGTCCATCAAAAATGCATTTAATAAGTAGGTAAACTAGCAAAAAAAAAATTAAAGCAATTACACCAACTGCTAAGTTTAAATGATGTATGATGCGCGGACTGACTGAACACTAGGCCTCATTAACAAAAACTATCATGCTAACACACACGAATGCTAAGCTACTTGTGATTTATTCTTGTCAAATTTCATGGAGTTTATATTTGTCAGTTTTATTTACACTGTTGGGATGTACTCACCACTCGATTGTCTCTCTTGCCCATATCGAGTCAATATTGAGGGAACAAGCATTAGTGTTACCTTTCTAGCATGGAGCTAGCCACTTAGCTGATAGACGCTAGCGGCGTTCATGATATCTTCTTCGGCTGTCCTGTCCGTAGCACCCTGTCCGAATGTGATACTCTACTGCCACCTCCTGGTCAGAGATGGTACTGCAGCAAGTACAAACWTGTTCAAACCAGTTTCCCAAAGGTATTTTTCAACATCAATGAAAACCCCAGTCTCAAAATGTTGATATTAGATATTATTGTAGATATATTATTAATGAGATTTAAAAATAACGATAACTAAAACATTACAAATGTGAAAAAATGAAAAAAATATATATTCAAGTGGACACTTTAATATTTAGCTATAATATTGCATATTCTTATTTCAAAATAAAGGTTGCCTTCATAAATGAAAACATATTTAAAATCTCAACCGTCACAACCACAATGAGTAGTTTAGTAACCACATTGTCTACAGAAGCAATTGGTCTCCAACAGATCAATAATGTGCAAAAGAAATGGTCAGAAAAACATAAAAATGACTCAACTACAATGTTCATAAAAAGCTGGTTTTTTATTCAGCTGGTGCAACACAACACATTATGACACCGATGCATCCATACATTTTGTACGCCAACTGGACAGATATGCTGGTTTCAAAACATTTAACACTGCTAAAAGTTGAAAAGCTGTTATGAAAATGAAATGCGTTACCAAAAAAAACTTAGTGATTGCATTAACTGTAATGATACTAAAGCAGTCATTTTACTTGTAAACCACTAGTTCTAAAGTATTTGTAGTTTTTGTTTTGCTTTTTTAGGCAGCTTCAGAATGGTTATCGAAAAAAAAAAACTCACACAGTGTTCTAAGCAGATCTGTTGTTTGCCTTGCAGCAATTAGAAGCTGCAGGTAATAAAGCAGTCTATCAAAGGCAGGTACTGGTTACAGTAAATTAGATAAATAGCAATGAGAGATGACAATGATCCAAGGCACCATTGTAAGACAGCTTAAAAGAAAACCTGAAGAAGTTGTAACGTGGTCATTAAGTAGTCCAGAGATGTGCAAACTGTGCCCAAGAGGTTGGAACGTCCTGAATAATAACAATAATAAAAAAAAAACCTGAGAAAGTTGAACAAGTTTGTGTGTGTGTCGATGTGTGCTAATAGCACTACATGTTAAGTGAAGATAAACCAGTGTTAAAATGTCTCTGTTCTGCAAAAACTACAACATACAAAAATACAATTCTGCATAAGTTGCTTTTTTTTCCCTCGCAGATAAAAAAATGCAATACGACGGCACATGGATGTACAATAAAGCAAAACCTGGAAACTAAATATCTGTGTATCCTTTTGTATCAAATCTAGTATAAAATTAATCACCATGTAAATCAAATAATCGACAGAACCAACCCGACTTTCTGAAAAGACAAAATACTCTCGTGATAAAACATTCCACTGACCTCCTCTACTGACATATCTATGTGCTGACTGTGCACAAACAGTTTCTATCATTGCAGCTAGCGCAAAACACTTAACAGTACCAATTACTACTAGCCTTTATACATTCCTGTCATACACAAACTCTGACCATCTAGAGTCGATGCACTTGGTGTGAGAATATAGTATGCCCCAGCATCTTAAAAAAAGTAACAAGCATATAAGACTTGTCAATAAAATTAAAATTAAATACAGAATATTGGTGACAGTACTCTGCCAAATGCTTTGAAAATGTTGAACAGTCCTGTTGGGACCTTCTTCACCGATTGCAAGCCTGTGCATTACGGTAACATCTGGATTGTAATAAACTGGATTTCAGAATAAATGTCTGGAAATAAGTGGCAGGATTGCTCTGAAGTACTTTCATCTGCGTTTCAAAGATAACATCCGCCTGAGTGCAGCAGCCATTAGAATCCTGCTACTGGCTTGTCTGCAGTGACTCTTCACATCCACAAGGTGGCAGCAAGTTTATGAGTGAAGCTGGAATGATGAGCTTGGCAGTAAGTGGCTGGCTTGTGATTCCTTGTGATGTCGCAGTGACTTTATAGATAACACGAGCATATGTGTGTGTCTCAGTGGCAGATTTTTTTTCTTCTTCTTCTCCTGTTCATCAGTTCCACAGTGAGCATAAAGCCTGGTAAGATCCATGCTGTCCACCCCGGCTCCCGTCCAGATCCTCGAGACATAAGGACTCTTAACAAGTCTAAACACTGGTCACGAAGAGGCTTCCACAGTCCGTCCTGCCTCTCAGCAACAAGTCMGTCTGTGATTCAGGCCTTTTGTTTTTGCACTGTTACAGTCAGCAGCATTTATGATCCATCTGTTCATGAAGGAGGACAGCTTTTGCTCATGATTCAAACAACTTTTCTCAGTACTTTCTGGAGTTGTGTACGTTGGCCATAAAAAAGTATCCCGCACGTTTTAAATGATCTACAACATATAACCAACAATAACTGAGCTTTTTGACATTGAAAATCAGAAAAAAAGTTCTCATCAAATGCATCTAAAGAACTGCATTTTTTTTWAAATCAAAACAGATTAAACCAGGTTTTACTGTGCGAATGTTTGTGTGCATCCAAGTGACAGAATATTTCTTATTTAATTGAAATTTATACAACAGCAGACTATTTAAAAAATTTTTTAAATGCTCACAAAATGTTTTGGGGTTCATCCAAAATGTAAAATTCTTCTGTTTGCACCCATTACAAATAATGATGGTGAGGATTGCTAGTTCGGCTGATTCTTTAAAAAGTTGTTGAGGATTGCTAGTTCGGCTGCTTCTTTGTCTTTTTCTTTTGTTTGTTGTAGATTTTTCATTAAAGAAGCATCAATAAAGTAATTTTAAAACTGTTTATTGGAAAACTGAAGCGATGCATTCTGGTACATGTGGATTTGATTTGTGACGGGAAACGAAAGCACGGAGTACAGGAAATTATCTTCCCTTCAAAATAAGAGCTCTGATTTTAAAGTTTTCCATGTAGTTGCTCCAGTTAACCACTAGATGTCAGCCTTCATCAGCATAACATCTTTAAAACATTTCTGCATCTCTAACCACGTTGCTTCGACCAATTACGTCAAGTACTGAGCTCCAGTGTTTAAACTTTAATTTTAAAAAAAGAAGCTCCGATTGTAAAGTAAAATAAATCAATACATAAAAGTTTTAGTATGGATTACAAACATTAACTGTTTTTGCTATTGCTTTCCTGCTACGTAAGCAGACACAAAGTATTGTGGGAAGTCAGAACAGTGACCGAAAGCAACAGTCAGCAAGGATGTATACCTTCTCAATAAGTGTGTTTATCTGGGAGGGGTGCTGTTGGATAGATCATGTGTGTTGTGATTTATTGACAGCCATACATTCCACTTGTTCAAGATAATGACGACTGGTAGATAATTAGTTATTAGCGGTACTGCATTTTAATTTTAGAAAGCGCAAATCTGCTTATGAATTATAAAAAATAGTAAGACCGCTAAAGCGCAAACGAAATATTTAGGTCCGCAATTAACAGATTTGAGCTTTAGCAGGCTGGTGCCCACCACTGCCCCTTGATCTCACTTCCTGTTTCACTTTGGCTGAATCAAAGTAAAAAAATAAATAAATGCCAGTAAATCAAGTGTTTTATGCCAAGTTTCTAAAATATAAAGATGCTTTCTTTGACTTTTTTATGTGACAGCTATGCATGTCTCAGGCACTTTAACTTCTTTACATTATCAGAGTTTGTAAAACTAAAAAAAAAAACGTGTACTTTTGAGTGATTTATACGTTTAAGTAAAGCAACAAGTAGCAAAACTCGACCCTTTAAATCATTTCATTGGGCAAATCATATCTATATTTTCCAAAACAAACAGTCATAAAGACTTCAAAAGAGGATTTTGTCATATATCTGTTTTWTGCCTGGTTTGACTTTTATCTGATTTGTTTCTTAAACGTCAAAAAGCTTAATTACTGAATTTAACGTTGTAAACCCACTAAAACATGAGAGACTACCAGAAGGCCCTGCTGGAATGACTGAAGAGGGAGGAGGACCATCAGGCAGTCCTCTCCTCTATTGAGGGTTTGCTGTTGGGGAGAGACTGGGTCGCGTACACGCTTCGGCTGTGACTGTCCACGCTTTGGAAGTAGGGGTGACTCAAAGCAGCGAAGGCCGATATTCTCCGGGAGGGATTGAAGGCGAGGAATTGCTGCAGAGACGGAGAAGACGAGAAAGGGGGTGAGACTGCGTGAGCCGTTACCAGAAAGACTCGTTCGTTCCGCTCCACCTACCAGTAACAGCGCTCGCCCTTGCTCATCCATCTCTGGAACCAAGTCTTGTATCGGTTTTGGGGGTCGGGGTGTGAAGGCACTCTGTGGTAAGGCCACTTCCTGGGGCCAGTCTTCTACTGATGGAACCCCGACAACACTATGGAAGAATATAGGTGATCATTAGCAGTAAGTAGCATGTGAAAACACTCATTTTAGCTGCACTGATAATAGAAAGCTAGAGGAGGACCTGGTTTTAAAGCAGTACTCCAGACTTTTTTTTAAGTGGGGTTCTGTGAATTTGAACGATTAATATCTTACCTGTTGCAGATGACTCTTAAAAAAACTCAGATTGGAAAAATAATATTTTACTCTGACTGGATTGACAATCTAATGGGTAATCTAAATAACTATTTATATGAAAAGGGATTTAAACTTTTTATAAAATGCCAATCATTTTGCATTACATATTACGTTAGCTAGCTGTAGCACTTCCTGTTCAACCTGGGGCACCTTCAACAAGAATTTCTACCAGATTAAGCATATAATGCAAAACTGACAGCTATCTAAAGGTTTATAAAACGCCTTAAACTCTAATCTTACAAACTTTACAACCATTCATATAAAAGTTAACAATAATCCACCTCAGTCTTTGTTGCGCTCAATTAGCATTTTGGTGGAATGATCTGGAAGATGATATTAAAAGTGCTAAATCACTGTAATGTTTAAAAGAATGATAAAGGCTAGATTGTTAAAAAATATGAAACTATATAATCTGTTTCCACATAATTTGTTGTTCTGGAAAGATTTGATGTTTTTGTTTTGTTTTAATTGTAATTTATTGTTTGAATTTATACTTGAGGAAAAAGGGGCAGACGTAATAAGATTGTCTTCTCCCTGCCACCTTCATTTTATTTTATTTGTATTTTCTTTATTCATTGTACATATAATCTGTTTCCACATAATTTGTTGTTCTGGAAAGATTTGATGTTTTTGTTTTGTTTTAATTGTAATTTATTGTTTGAATTTATACTTGAGTAAAAAGGGGCAGACGTAATAAGATTTTGTCTTCTCCCTGCCACCTTCATTTTATTTTATTTGTATTTTCTTTATTCATTGTACATAGAATTACTTTAGTTTTTTTTAAAGAAATGAATAAAGTTTGAAATAAAATAAATAAAATAAAATTTTAAAGATTTCTTCAAACTAAAGCAGTTCAAAAAGCCTGTGACAGGTGGAACTTTATTGTTCGTGTTTCCACAGAACCCCACTTCAAAAGATCTGAACCACACCGCTGAGAAGGAGAAACTAATGCAGGATAAAGGTTTTAAAGCAAAAAATAAATAAATAAATAAAAATAGAAGGGAAAAATGGATAATTTCCATTCGTTTTACAACTTATGGGTTTAACGCAAACATATACGTAAGTGTGGCTTTTATTACTTACTCAAAAATCTTTCCCAGCTGATCRACATCTGAGCTCCCCCGAAAAAGAGGCCTGGATAAGAGAAATTAAAGAAAGCTTAATGTTGCCATCACTTCGACAAATGTTCATTAGTTTCTTACTGGCTCGCTTTAGATGTGGGTTTTAGTGCTCTGCAGGTGAACCCTAACGTATAAAGCCTTCAGCTGAAGGCAAACAGGAATGTGTAAGTCTCATGTGAACGTTTGAAGTCCACATGTTGTCTGGGGTTGTGGAGCAATATTGGTAAAAAAAAAATAAAAACTTCTGAAGCTGGGAGGGAGGAAACGGGGATGAAAGGAGGGAAGGGAGCAGCGGCAGATCTGCTGGTGGTTCCTGTGGCTTTGGGCAGTCTCTGGATGCCCGTGGGCGGCCACGGCTTGTCCTGGCACCCGCACAGATTCCAGCAGTCACCATCAGCACAGGACTTCCAGTCACCGCCATGAAGAAGGGTTTTATTTACCCCATCGTGTGAATCGACTTTTACTCTCCAATCAGTGCAGATAGAGAATTGGAAAGGAAAGGCACCCCGAGAGACACGTCAGGATTATTCCAATCAAAACAGAGGTATGAAAACTAGAACTTCCTGTTCAAGTTCCTCTGAAAGGAAATGAGGAAGGGGAGCTTTCAAAAGAAGAGACTTTATTCTAGCACCTCAGGTTTCAAGGCTTGTTGGTTAAATAGGATTCGATTCATGAACTAAAGCACAAATGACGATGTCAGACTAAGCAAATTCACATATGTATGCTTTTTTTTTTTACACTGGGCCTCTTTAGGCACCCTATTAAATTGAAAAAGAGCAACCTCGTTGGTCACCACCTTCCCACTTGCAGGAAACTTTACATAGCTGAACACCCACAATTTCCTAAACTCTAACTCAGGGGTATTATTTGTCACACAGGAATGCTTTGCACCTTTCGTCTGCAGCGGGAGCACCATTTCTGTCCCACGCTGCCATTTAGAAGCTAAATTAAGGCAACAAACACAATTGTTGATCATTTTTGACTAATAAAATTGATATTTTTCCTAGTTCCTTGGTTTCCTTCACYGCTGCAGGAATACCGCAACACATGCAGCAGTATAAAATCAGACCAAACCAGTTTTTGACAGTTGAACTTTAAAAAAAAAAGGGAAAACAAAATCACCTACAGCGAGGTATCSTGCCAAAACAGGTAGAAGTGATAGTTCCAGGAGGTCTCTTTAAAACCTAACCTGGTTTGTTAGTGTGTTGGAGTGGGGATAAGTGTRGACAAAGCAACAGAGCAACACATATGATGTCCACGCACACTTTCTTGGTTTCCCGTTCTCAATTTTTTTTAACATTTACAAATGTGAACACACAAGTGGGCGTCGAGTAATAACGGATCCAGGGCTGGGACAAGAAGTCGAGTCACACTTTCTCTGGTGCCAGTTTAACTCTGTCCTACATTCCACAGAGACAACCTCTGGAATGTGTGCATGTGTGCACTCATGTTTGCATGTGAGAGGGTGGAAATGCAATGCAACGTTTTGAATCGTAGATCGAAATCTGTGTGCATCAGCTTGGATTAAAAAATAAACAAACAAAAAAAAAACATTTGTGCAGCTCTGCTGAGGGTTTATCAATTTAGTCTGGAACTGTGAGAAAGTCAACAAGGATGTCAGGCCTCTCCCAGTTCATTAASGCACCACGATCTGCCTTCTTCGATTTGAGGAATGTCAACAAGCAGACATGCTCCCCCACATGCACTCAAACCATGACTCATAAACCATTGCAACCATACAGATGCAGACTTGTATAATGTTTGCTCAAATTCCTGCAAGCTGCATTTTCACGAGTGTACATGGTTCTTAGAGAGTTTTTACAAAAGTCAGAGGGAAGCTTTTTGTTCATTTAGACACCAGATAACACATAGTGAACATTGTCAAACCTTTCATTTGTTACCAAAGAGAGCGTTTGATTAGAAGTTAGCCATTCTATAAGGCTAGTAAGACGGTGATGCCCAGATGTTGAGCCAATAATTTTATATTAAAGCCAATTTACTAGAAAATTAATATTCAATGCTTTTACGTTTTCTCGTTTTGCACTTTCAACCCAATCAACCTTTTGCTTTCTTCCACTCCTTCTTCCAGGTGCCCTTTAATCTTTAACAGGTGGCCTTTTACAAAGCCATACTGCTCATGCAACAGTGTGTGTGCTGTGTTTAGTGCCATCTGAGGTAATCGCCTCACCTTACGCCTTCAGGAAACACTGGTCAAGTGTCGTATTGGGAAGATGCACTGGAGCTTATAACAGCTTGTTGCATCAGGACTCAGAAACAGATGACCTCTGTAAAAAAAACTACAGCCAAACTCCACCTGCAATTTGTTTCTAACATTCCTAAAATGCAAAACAGAGCCACAATGTTGTTCACATCGTAACATTTATGAACATATAAGCAAATCTGAAGAAAACGTCTGATTCAGTAAGAACAATTTTTATATTAGAATCAGGACAGACCAAAAACTAAGCATGTGAAAGAATTCCCATCCAAAATAATGCTCTAATCACTTATTTTTTATTCTTCTTTACATTTTTAGTCTACAAACTATAAATGGCATTCACAAACTCATACCAAGCTGCCAAATGGATGTTTTTTCCTGTTAAAAGGAAGTTTTTTCTCTCCACTGTCGCCCATTGTTGTGTTTGATCAGGATGGATGTGAGGACGTGCTACAATCCACCAGTTTCTTGACAATAGTTTTTACTAAAAGGCTTCTTATAATTTACTTAATTAGGTTGTTTTTAAATGTATTATAAAAAGATTGAATTAGATGGCTAATTTTGACTTAAATTGAAGATRCCAGATTATTATATATTAGTTTATAACAAGGATAAACTGGTTTAAAGTGAAAAAGATTTTTTTTATGTACAGTCCCTAAATCAATGGGAAATGCTTTATAAGCAAATATTATAGGTATGTGGGAATACACAGCATTTTTGTTTTTAATCTRAGGGCTGTTGTAGCTTAGTGGTCAGTGTTGGGGTCTTGTTATTCTGAGGCTGCAGGTTTGAGCCCAGATGTCCTCAGGAAAGACATCCGGGGTAAAAAAAAAAAAAGGCAAATCTTTTGTGGGAGTTCACTCGTGGCGACCGGTGCAGAAGGCAGCAACCGAATGAAAAACATTTAGAATTTCAAAGTGATAACTAGAATATCCTGACCGTGTCAGTTTGTGCTTTAAGACAAGTAGAACACGAGTTGTGAGGCTGAACTCGTCGGGGTAAGAGGACAGTTGGGGTAGGAAGCAGGGCTGTTCCTTCTGGCACTAAGACGGTTCTTATCTGCTAAGCCACACACCATTACAGCCCGACATGAACTACAGTTGATTACAAAATTAATTTCTGCACACAGGAYATAATAAAACAATCATAAATCTATAAAGACATCTTTAAACGCCTGCATCGTGCCACCTTACACAAACAGGCAGTCGATCTTTTAATTCGTCTTTAGAGAATTCCGTTATTAGCGTGGCTCTCCAGTGCATGACGTTCGTTAGACCACAAACTGCCAAATACCTACACCAAGAAGCAGAATCTTGGCTTGCATGCTCCAACCACAAAAGGCAGCCTGGGTTACTGTAATGGTTTGATAAGCCAACTGAAATGGGATTGCATATTTTTTCATAACCCATCTGTCAGGTGCCATTTTAGGAGAAAGATTGTTTTAAAAAACCTTCCAAATAACTGAGACGGAGAGGGCTGAATTTTTGAATATTTGTACATTTTTCTGAAGCATAAAAATAATTATGTATGCTCAAAGTGAACAAATCTTTTTTTATTATGTGTATTCTTTGTTATTTGGTCAAAGCGATTGGACCTCAACTGAGATGATGTGAACATCACAAGACCATCCAGGTGCATGTTTCACATTTAGTTTCTTCGTCTCCATAATGACACAAATGATAGTGAGAAACATGTAAGTGGTTTATACAAACACTCATTTCCAAATCAAAGAGATTTTATCAAATAAATGTGTATACGTTGTGTGTACATCCCCATGTGGTYCACTCGTCAGAATCTTTTAAACTTTCGAAAGAAGATTGGAGAAATTATGTTATAGGATTRTTCTTGTTTAATATTTTGATAAAACAATAAAAAGTTTCCCTTGCCACAGGAAGTACACAAGCGTGTGATGTCATCTGTAACTGTGTTCGCCTCTAATTTGCTTCATAAGCTCAAACTTGACCGACTGTCTAAAAATTGGCAATAATCAACCTAATAATCAGCCYACTGATCAATAAATTGTCTACCTTTAATAGAAAAGCTAATAAATGACAGCAGTTAGATTGTGGAAAACATTTATAGATTACAGGAAGTTAAAGTTACTGTGACGCTACACAACTGGCAAATCTCATTTTATCTAGGGTTTCACCAATTTCCTTAATTTTGGGAGATCAAACGATACTTGGATACGATCCATGAATAAGATTGGCTTCTCGTCTACCTCTACAAAGGTCTGAAAATCAGCCACTGTCTCCTTTTGCTCTGCTGTGAGCACCTACTTAATGCCCAGTTAAAGTGAGTTTGYATTGTTTAATGTTTTACAAAAAATAAGACTAGAACAATGAAGGTGTATTGTGATTTTATAACACCTGACAGTGTCGGTTCTTCAAAAAAAATCGGTATCCGCCAAAATCAGAATCGGCTGGTCAGACAAACAAAAATYGGTACACATGGGACTTGTGTTCAAAACCATCCTTGAGACCACCATTATCCCACTTCCATATTTTCATTCATTTGGTCTTTAAKTTACACACTTCCCTCTCCTACTGTTTGGTTGTTATTTCACATGAAGTTGGTTATGATTATGAAAGCACTGTGGTTAGATACTAWAATACACTTGTTTGTGTTGTTAAAAATGACAAATCCAGGATTTTTATCATTTCAGAGAGCAGAGAAAGTCAGAAAATGATGACTTGGGAGTGGGTTTCGCATTAAAAACCAACAGTAGCTCAAGACCAAGTTTGAGTAAAATRTGTGTTGAGTTTGCTTAACGCAGAATCTTAAAGTTATGAATAAAAACTGGTGCTGACAGTGAGATCTTTGGCTCAGTCTTTGGTTTCAATCTGTCCAAAAACCCATCTTTCGTGTCATTTAATTTTGTTCCACCGTGCCTCAGGCTAAATAAAATATGATCTGTATTAGGATRTTTTCATTTATAAAGCAGTGAGACATGTTACCAGTATTTGGACCATCCAAGACCTCACCTTCTCCTGAACATCTCTGCAAAGATGCAGCCAACGCTCCACAGGTCCACCGGTGTGGCGTAGCTGGACTGGAGCAGCACTTCTGGGGCTCGGTACCACAGTGTCACCACCTACAGAGCAAACAGCAGAAATCCACTCAGACTTCCCTGTAAAAGCACAACGACTTGAACCCTTGCCAGCAGCATTAGGTAAATGTCACCAACTATGTGGGCTCRCAGACACACACGTGCACTTTAAAAGCTTCTCTTCCCCCGTCTTGAACGCAACACATAAAATCATATCTGGCAGGATCTGTTCTCTTGCTTCCATTTTTGTCTACACACACGTGACAACCTTTCCCCAGGCAATTTACCAGATAAACAATAGTGTGAATGCATTTTTMTATGTTTTCATCCAGTGATTGTTTTTGCATTGCTGMGATGAACTTGGCAGATGATGTGAAACGGCAATGAGGTTATATCGGCCAAACCACCCTGATMGTTTGTCGTGCCAAAAATGTACTTCCTGTATTTCATCTTACAACCCTGCACCCACCTGAGGTGTAAAAGGCAGYCATTTTGTGCCACTTCACATGAAGCATGGTTTCCAAATTTGTCCCTGAAAGTCTTGGGACCTCTAAGAGCGATATTGTCTGTGTTTCTATGTGTGTGTAGCCTGCAGGAGCGCAGCGCCGTTAACAGCTACARTAGGGAAAGCCTCCAGACAAAACTCAGTGACCCTTAGTGAGAGAGTGGACTGGTTCCAGGTGCTTTCCTTAACTCAATGTTTTTTTTTCCTCAACAGCTTTCAGCTGCAGTTTCACCATTCAAGCACTGCACAGCCCTTATCAGGATGTTAAGAATCTTACAGGCAAATGCCTGGAAACAAAAAGAGGGCAGTGTCAACTAGATACCTCTGGGTTGGCTTGTTCTGTGTCAAGGTGATGAAACTACAGGGCTGTAAAAATATTTCCACATACTTAAATGCRCACAAGTATTTAAACCATGAGTAACTATCCTTCAAAAATTGTTCAACTGTAGGAATATGCACTACTTGGTTTTATTGAGATGGAGAACAGATTTGCAGCAAAACTGAAAATCAGCAGTTTTGTGATTAAAAGGTCCTGTCACACAATAACRTTTTAGACAACTTATGCTGACTTATGAACATTTTGTTTTAAGAATAAAAATGCATTTTCCTTGTTAGCGCCTTTCAAAACACCCAAGGACACTTTACAACAATAAAATCCAAAATGATACAAGATGGGTATAAAAACGCACTAAAACTAAAATCAAAGTGATTGAGAAGTTAAAGTGAGAAGGCTAACTTGAACAGATGAGTTTTGAGTTGTGATTTGAAAGTCAGAAGAGAGTCAGTATTACAGATGTCTGGGGGAAGAGTGTTCCAAAGTTGGGAAGCAGAGTGAGAAAAGGCTCTGTTTCCCATGGCGCTGAGACAGACGAGGGGCAACGGTGAGGTGGATGGAAGAGGAAGAAYGGAGGGAGTGTGACGGTGTCGTGCAGGAGATCGGACAGATGAGGAGGGGCGAGATCGTGGATGGCCTTGAATGTGTACAGAAGGATTTTAAYTCTAATTGGAAAGGAGTACCAATGGTACATAATGCATCCGTTAGTAATCAAAATCCAATAAGGATCATCCTTGCCCATGAGGTGTCCACATTTTAAAGTGCTTGACATTTAAAAACAACAATGATCAATTGGGTGTTTTAGAGGTAATTTCCGCCTGAAAATACACAGCAAAATAAAGCAAGAATAGCTCCMCAGTTATAAGGTCTACATGCTAACTCTTGGTACCTCYCTAAAGGTAAGATCTTAAAGATAATTTCTCAAGTAAAACCACTATTGTAACTCTTACTGTGCCTGAGTTATTTGTGATTAAATAAAGAAAAATTGTAATTTTTTTAGCCTTGCCTAGATTTTTTTTAAATCAACAGTGCAAAACACAAYGAAAATTCTTGTGAAAACCCAGGAACGCCTTTAGATTTTATACATCTACATCTTGAGAAAAATTGTAACAAAGTAGGACTGAATAAGTTGAAGTATTTTCATTTCACAAAAGGTTTTAGTGAGCAGTGTGCCAGGCGGAAATTACATTTTGGCACAATTTAGCCAAATGTACCCAAAATTGTGCCAAATGGGTTTTTTACTTTATAAAAGAGATTCTGGTCTAAAAGTGTTGATTTCTATTGTAGGACTCATTCTGCATATGACATAACTTTTTCTTTTTACATTTACACTGTGCATTATCAAAATCTACCATTGTGCACACCATGAAATCACTGAATTGAACCTAACTCCGCCTCCACGTTTTACGCATGAGGGCTGTTATACTCTTGGTTACGCACAAACGTCACGTCACCAAACAAAGAGTAACACAGTGTCAAGATATATCCCTGAATTCGTGAGAGCTTCGTCCTTTCAAAGATACCAAAGGGAGGGGTATGGAACCAAAACTTGCACAGCAACAGATGCAGAGAACTTCCTGATACTGAAACGGTCTGCGACGGTTCAAGTAACTTACATGTTTATATAGCTCTAAAATCATAAATATTTATCCAAAAATAATTTGGCGACTCATTTTAAAAACAATAAAGACACCTTTTGTGATGGACTCAGAAAAAATTTGGGAAAAGTAAGTTTTACACCTACTTTAGCAAACAACAATGAATGACACCATCTGCTGGCCCTGTACAGGGCCCGTCAGGCTTAAGAGTGTGCCGTATTCTCATTAAAGCATGCTGTTTAAGTCACTCCCAGTAGCTCATGATGGATTCAAATTAGTGTCAGAGCACAGTCTTTACAATAAATGTGCAGAATGAAATCATAGATGTTGTYAMATCTCATTTCGTGTATGAACACTTCTGGGCAACATCTTGAATTATTGACTGTTTCTCATGCCTCTTTGAGGTTCATTACAAACAGCGAGACATTGATGTGTCACTGAGTTATTCTCTAGGATAGAATGAGTTGCAGACAGAGAGGTGGTCTTACTGCATCCACTTGCAATATTTGCTTCTTTCTGCTCCATTTGCCTAGACTGAAGGCTTTTGTCTGTTTTGCACCTTCTAACTCAAACATGTACTTAATGTTTTTAATTTTGTTGCGTTAACTGTGATGTGGCAACTATGTTTTCTATTCTATTTGCTGCTGCCTATGTGGCCAGGTCAATGGGACCTTCCTAGTTAAAGAAGCAAGAGAATGGTACATATCCACTACAGTGTCCATCTGCTTATGATTGTTGCTAGAATAAGGAAGTCTGCCCACTTTGTTTTTATAAAAGACTTTCTGCATCTCTGGCTTTTGCAAAAGCCTTTAACGATTACCTAATTGTCAGAGTTTGTGTGATAATGATTGGATAATGAAAGTGGAACAGCTGGTTAGCACTGTTACCTTGCACCAAGAAGGTCCTTACATTAAAGTGTCCACCAMTCAGGTGTCCCTAAATAAGGGTTTTATGCAAACTGGATTGATTAAACATTTTCCAACAATAACTCTGGCATCTGAAATAAAACAAACCGAGTTAAACACAAAGGATGCAGCAGAAACTTACAGGAGGTGTTTTCTTTTCTTTACATTTCATTTTTTTAATAAACCTGAACATTGCTATTAATAGAGCTGAAGGTTGCGTTTTGCAGATGTGTGATACTTTCATCTCTGCTTCCTGCTTCAGTGGAAACGGGGAGGAAGTTGAGGCTACAGCTATGCCACGTGACCAGAAATAAAACTCAAGCTCAGAATGAAGACTTCACTGAAGGGGGTCATTCATGGTTTTTACAGCAATGAAACCTCAAAGAAAATCATGAATGGAAGTCATGCAGCTGCCCCAAAGCTACACGGTCACATTTAGTCTTTGTTTTGTTTTCCTAACGTGGGAAAATTCAAGCTTGAAATCATATTTTTGGTAGATTGTTTTGCAAGGATTTGGTTAATTTTAGCAGCCAAGTATTGCAGATTATAATTAARGCCCCCTCATTCCTAAGCAGGCACTGTTTTAGCCTGATTAAACAACATCCTGTTTCTGTTCAAAGAAGTTATTTTACAAATTAACCAATCATCATCTTCCTGTAAGCCTTGCTGCTGCAGGCTCAAATGTATGTGCCTTCAGCTCACTGCTTAGATTTCACACCTTGCAAAGTCTAAAAGACTAGAGATATGTGCACACGCACACACAGCCTTCTAGGAAGAACCACAGACCTAAAGTTCGAAGCATATCCGCCACGTAATTATTCGAAAACGCGGCCACAAGTGCAGATTAAAGCACATATTTATACATTTAACACATGCGTGCAATTGTAGATGCAACAAAAGATAGACGCAAAATGGTTAATTTTAGCATCAAATGTATCTGCTTCGTGTGCTGCATGGTTTTATTTAGTAATTTAGTCATATCTGTTATCTTTTTTTTTTACTTTATCAACAAAATTAACTTAGACACATTTTTTCCGTTTACAATAAAAAAACTATTTTTAGCTTCGCTTTTCAAACCTGCTTGCAAAAAGAAATCCTATCAGGTGCAATTCATAAACAGGTTGGAAAAATTAAATTTAATTCATATTTTTATTTTTATGCATGCAACAAATAAAAATAAAAGCCATGATAGAGACATATTAAACACTGTCGCATCACCTGGTCTGAAGTGAACCCTAAATCTTAAAGTTCACAGCAGTTTATGACACACTGCCGTATCAATTTCACCTCCCACAGTAGATGTTCCTGCTGGGAGTTCCCCAAGTTGTGCTAGCAGTGCTAAAGCTAACTGCCGTTGTAAAGGTTTCTAAAACAGTGATCAAGTGAGTAATTCTTTTAAAAGTTGGAGTTGTTTGAATATGGCAGAAATCCACTTTCATCTTTCTCTACTCAACAAGCCAGCTGCTCATTAATCCATCAAGAATTGGATCATTTTGCCAAACTGGGGCAATTTAACAGGTCTGAATGTGTCTTTGAATGTTAAAAAAATTTACTCAGATTTGAAGTTTAGGCCCTTCTGCCTAATATACTTGAATCTTTGTGTTTTTTCTCCATTAAATACCTCTTTGTATCAGTTTGTTATCCCTTACGAGTCTGTAAACTACATTTGACTACAGTCAAGCCAACAYCGAACAGCTGGAGAG